AAATGAATGAGCAAATAATACGCTTTCGCAAATAAACGCTTTCGACTTTGCTCACTCGGGTGGACTCTTACGTGGAATGGCCGATCATCAAATTTTTTCGGAAAATATATTTTAAACTGAACTGAATATGTTTGTGTTTCTAAATGTTCTTCAGACAAATGAACAGCCCTTACCTTAAGTTTTGATTTAGTTTATGATTTAGTCTATGAGCCAATTGTTATATTCTATAGTTTTATTTGAAATCAAACTAACTTTAACAAGAATATAATCTACCTGTACAATGAGAAAACACACACCTTTCAAACACATTCTGGAACAACCCAGAGCGAGAAACGAACGAAGCTGAGAAAGCTAATAAAAAAGAATCTATATAAAAATATTCGAAGAAGGTTGAGAATATTCTTGAAAAATACAACCTCTGGGAAGGAGGGAAAAGAATGTATGGGAATATATCGATGCCCACGACGGTACTTATGAAAGGAAACTGGATTTTATCTTATTCATTCAAATCGTTATTCGTTGATATCATTGGCAACTCTAAATGTGCCCCGGTTTGTACACATTTTCGTCTATTAATCTTCTATCACAATAAACCTCGTGGAAAACGATTCTTCGTCATTTAACATTAGATCGATTGTACCTTGTTTTGTTTCTATATTTAGCCAACATTATTCTTGCGGCAACACCACTGACCACGAGTATGTTGAGTGTAAACTATCAAATACTTTTATAGAAAATTGACTTTTCCTATTGCCCTTTAGGTTGATACTTATATAAGAATCTATTGTCCATCCAAAAACCCATGATCATTTTTTATTAACTCGAAAATGCAAGGAGCTAATACGTGGATTTATCAGGTATGAAAGAGTAGTTTATGGAGCATCTATATGCAAGCGGAAAGCTTTCGAAAACGTTTTGAAGGAATCTTTGCAAAACTCGTGCATAACGGAAAAATTTAATATACTAAACTATTGGTGTTTTCACATCACTTAATAGAAGAAAAGGTCCTCTACAAAACGTAATCTAAGCGACATTTTCATTTACCATGGGTCGGGAGCTCCGGACTTTTTTTTCGAAGCTCTAGGAGTGCGCAGTTACTGACTCAACACTTCCTCTTGTCCGTGTATGAAGAGGAACAACAGAAGATTCACGGATCGTATATTTCAGAACTTATTCCTACTTTCACTCTCAGAAATTAATACAAACCATCTGTGAAATATCACCTCGAAACTAGACATGAACTGATTTAGTGTCTAAATATTTTCTCAAATTTTATTTTTAACAAAAGTAAGCGAAAACAATAGAAAATCATCAAAAGAACTTTGCGATTAACAAAGTTCTTTTCATTCGGTGTTCACAACTTATGCACATTGAATAGCAAACTCAGCGAGAACAATAAGGTTCAACATTTCCTCTCGCACCTATATGAGGAGAAACAATAGAAGATTCACGGATCGTACATTTCAGAACTAGCAAGAAAAGTGTCTAGAGTGATACCACCAGTGATAAGAACTTTGCCCAAACTGAGCGGGGTTGCAGTATAATACGCAAGTGGTACTGCCATGCTTGCAGCAGAGTTCCATTGGTCCGTTGATGGATCATATATTTCCGAACTCTCAAGAAAAACGCCTGATGGAGTGAGACCACCAGTGATAAGAACTTTGCCCGAATTGAGCAGGGTTGCAGTATGGAACGCACGTACTGTTGTCATGTTTGATGCAGAGTTCCATTCGTCTGTTGATGGATCATATATTTCACAACTAGCAACTTCCGTACCCCCAGTGACAAGAACTTTGCCCGAATTGAGCAGGGTTGCAGTATGGAACGTACGTACTGTTGTCATGTTTGATGCAGAGTTCCATTCGTCTGTTGATGCATCATATATTTCACAACCAGCAAGAAGACTGGAGGATTCCGCACCCCCAATGACAAGAACTTTCCCCGAATTGAGCAGAGTTGCAGTATGAAACGCACGTGCTATTGCCATGCTTGTAGCAGAGTTCCACTGGTCCGCTGAAGGATCATATATTTCAGAACTAGCAAGATAACCGGGCCATCCGTAACCAGCACTAACAAGAACGTTGCCCGAATTGAGCAGGATTGCAGTATGATAATAACGTGCTGTTGCCATGCTTGTAGCAGAGTTCCATTGGTCCGCTGAAGGATCATATATTTCAGAACTAGCAAGATAACCGGGCCATCCGTAACCAGCACTAACAAGAACTTTGCCTGAGTTGAGCAGGACTGCAGTATGATGATAACGTGCTGTTGTCATGTTGGATGCAGAGTTCCATTGGTCCGTTGATGGATCATATTTTTCAGAACTAGCAAGATAAGCGACCAATCCGTAACCAGCACTGACAAGAACTTTTCCCGAATTGAGTAGGGTTGCAGTATGATAAGCACGTGCTGTTGCCATGCTTGAAGCAAAGTACCATTGGTCTTAAAGAGAAATCATTACGGCAGGTATTAGTATTCTAACTGTATCGATATAACCCAATCACTGTTCGAAGTTCTTGCAAGTTATTCAAAGTTTCGTATGATAGAGCACGTTCTAGCATGTGGGACTAATCGAAGCGTTACTTACATTTCAAGTATCGCGGTATAGAGCAGTCTTTCTTTTTTTTATCTCAAAGTTTTCTACTGTCAGTTGAAGAATTATGCAAATTCTTAGAATGCAGTTTACACTACTGACATTATGAGAGAGGTGAAAAAGTCGACTTTTTTTTCGTCAGACGGATTAAGCTGTAATTCTGGGTAATAAATAACGATTGTTAGTTAAACGTTTTCTGAAAGTTTCATCAATGACGTCTCAACGGTTGCGAAGATAATTACTTTTATAGAAGGCACTAAGTGAGTAGCGGGTATTCTCGTTGAACATAGCGCTGTTGAACAAAAGTGATTGTTTCAAAGAAACGACAACATCTGTCCGGATTATTCATGATTTAAAGCTGTTTTAGAACATGTTTGCCGGGTTTTCTAGGTTTTCTGAGTAACTGTAGTCCTCTTCCGTTGCTTGGTTCTCGAACAGAAATCCTATCAAATGGCAATTCTAGACGATAAAAAGAAAAGAGAAGAAAATATAGTTGAACTATAGAGATCAAATGTACCGCTTTCAGTCTTCTCCTCTTTTGATCTTATCACTTTTCATTTTCTATATGGGCGCTGTAATAGACAATGGGATAAGCTAAGAAAAGCACTAATTTTATATTTTAACCGAAATAGTTCACTCATCTCGTAATGTTCACAAGTTATATAGACTCATTTGTTACGTTTCTCTCATCTAGGTTAGAGAACGTTTCAACGTATATTCCGGTCGGTCGGTCGCCATTCCTGTATTCCCCGACTATTCCGCTATTTGCGCTGTTCCTCTATTCCAAACGGACTTAAAGTACACAGAAACGAACTTGAAGATCTAACAATTACAGCAAAACCGAAGAATTTCTATTTAATAATCTAATATGCAATCGACAACATTCTTTATTTATGGCATCTTTGAATATTTTAATGTTCTTCTAGTAATACTCTTATTAAATTTTGTCCTTATTCGACTGCATTATTTATTCAGTAACCCTTTATATTGATTAGAGAGCATGTCAAAATTTCAATCCTAATTTATTTTATTTTGTATAATTTCGGTTCCTTTGATTTTATTGTGGATACATATATTGACATATATATACTTCGAATATGTTCGTTTTTTTAACAGATATCTTTATGAGAGCAGACGTTTTTCTGTTTAAAGAATAAAATCAGAAAGTAACAAATTTTATATTTTCATCAAATATTCATCTTTTATATGTTCATGAAGGAGAGTACTCACTGTAAACTTATTTCGTACCAACTTCGCGAACTAAATCTACACTAATTAGAGATGACCTATTTCCATCGTTATATATTAGTCTAAAGTACACGAGTTGTACACGATCCTGATTTATTTTTTAGAAAACGATCCCTTTTAGTTTTAATGATATATGGCCGTGAATATCGTTGATTATTGTCTAAAAAAGCAAGTTTTCGAGACAAGCAAAAGACGTATGTGGAAGTCGAGCAAGGAACTAACATAAAACTAGTACAAAAGATGGAAATGGGTTTTCCCTAATCAGTGTAGATATTGTTCGCGAAGTTGGTGGAATACGAAATAAGTTTCCAGTGAGCCTCACTGTAGTGTAAATATTGACTAGAATTATCCGTCTCTGCTTTTTATGCCAGTTTCAAGTACCCAAGTTGTACTCTGTGCCGAGCTATATTTTAGAAAAGATACTTTCTCAGATAAATTTTATGTGCGAAATAAGGAAAAATGTGCAAAATCAACCACCAAATGGAGTACACAACATGGATATACGACGGTTCTTCTGTTAAACTCAATATAAGAGAAGAAATACTATTTTCGTCGAATATTCAGTTTAGTCAGTATGAACATACGTCCAAATTTTCATTGTTGGAATATGGTTCAAGATGGTCTGAAGCAAACAGGAAATAATTAGTCTTCTATCTAATTGATACATTTTGACAGGCTTATACGAAACTGATTAAGAGCTTATCGACTATCTTGTATACTTGTACTCTACCGAAATAAAATTTGTACATGATTTGTATTCGAGAACCTTACACGTATAATCCTCATACATCTATCAACGATGACAATAAAAAGTATATATTTTCCTTATGTTTAGCTGTGATATTGACAGCCTGCTTTCAAAGAAAGCAAAATGTATCTTTTTTCTAAAATATAGCTCAGCAGATAGTACAACTTGGGTACTTCTGACTGGCCCTAAAAATGATTTTGACTTCATAATGGGTTTTACCCGTTTGAACACACATTACCTCTGACTATCATGACCCGAAGAGAAAGTCGGAAAGACATGGTAGTCAAAAAGCGTTGTTCTAGCTGCTAATCATCGATATTGAGAGTCACATATCTCAAAAACTAAAACGTTTTTCTAGAAAATAGATCAGTATATAGTACAACGTCTGTACTTCATACTAGTATAAGAAGTGAAGATGGACCCTGCCTAGTTAATTTAATTTTAATCTGAGAAGTTGGCGGAATATTGGATAAGCACTGGTTCTTTTGGATATTGAATAAATGAATATATAGATTAAAATAGAAAGTTTGTTCTTTTCTATAGACTGCTTGTCTCGAAAACTCGCCTTTTTTAAGATCAAAAGAGGAGAAGACTGAAAGCGGTACATTTGATCTCTATAGTTCAACTATATTTTCTTCTCTTTTCTTTTTATCGTCTAGAATTGCCATTTGATAGGATTTCTGTTCGAGAACCAAGCAACGGAAGAGGACTACAGTTACTCAGAAAACCTAGAAAACTCGGCAAACATGTTCTAAAACAGCTTTAAATCATGAATAATCCGGACAGATGTTGTCGTTTCTTTGAAACAATCACTTTTGTTCAACAGCGCTATGTTCAACGAGAATACCCGCTACTCACTTAGCGCCTTCTATAAAAGTAATTATCTTCGCAACCGTTGAGACGTCATTGATGAAACTTTCAGAAAACGTTTAACTAACAATCGTTATTTATTACCCAAAATTACAGCTTAATCCGTCTGACGAAAAAAAAGTCGACTTTTTCACCTCTCTCATAATGAGTCATTTTTAGGGAAATTCGATGCAGGCGTTATACGAAACACCCGCAAGAGCGTAAAAAATGACTTTGTTTAAGAAAGGTAAATTACCTACTGGGGCGCTTGTCGTTGAGATTGTCATTACCGTGGTTGTTATTTGGGTTTCTAAAAGACAAGTTCAGAATGTTAACAAAAGAACAAAACAGAACGTATATTAATTATATAAGGTCGCGTGCTCTTAATATCTTTATGTGGCGTTTTCATGCATGTCGATGATTCCAGTTAACAATCGAAAGCCCTATCTTTTTAATAAGTCGCTTGTTGTCGATATTGCAGCTCGTGTCATAAACATATAATGCTGAGCTCTGCCTATTTTCTCCAGAGTAAAAAAAATAATAGAGACAAGCGAAAGCCTAAAGCTGGTCTAGGATGTGCTTAAGCTGACTTCCAGCTACTACTCAATTCTTCTTAAACTGCAGTTTGCTTACATCCATGGATGTAATCAATTGTTTCATTCTGCACAGCCGACTCAAAATACATCAGAGCGAGCAGAAACCGTCAGGATATGGCTAATTTTGTCAACTGGATGTCTTTATGGCATCACGAATTTGAAAAACTAATATTTGTTCAATGAATTTCTAGAAGTGTTTCAAGAAAATCACAGAGTTCTCTAAATTCTTTGTTAGTAGATTTCTTATAAGCAGAATAAAAAGTAGTTGATATACTGTACATCCTGAAGTTTTCAACTCGTTCTCATGTATTTTGAGTGAGTTATGCATTTTTTTATATTAGCTGAAAACAGCCAGTAAAGACTAGTTTTCGTTACACTTAGGTTTCGCCAGGTACTAAAATGTTTTCTAGTAAGAAAATTGCCACGAGACTCATCATAGTCGATAACCTATGTGTTCGTGCATTTCCAAAGGTACCAAATCGAAGAATAGAGAAGTCCTAAGGTAATAGGAAAAACAGCTTCAGAAGCAGTTTTATAGAGGATCCTTTGCAGTAACTATCTATGGAAAAAAACGGTAGATCATTATGTTAGTTTCCAGAGATCCGAGGTGGTTTTTCAGAGATTCTCTAAATAAATTCTAACAGTTTTTTTTCTGAGCAAGTGAACCATTTCAGCAGTTCAGGCGTATTTCATTGTATAGAGCGACGAAATCTGAGCCAAAAAAATACCTGAAACTTCTGCAATTTTTGATTTTTCTATAAAAAGTCATGAGGAAAAAACATTATTAAAGAACAACCACCGGTCTTCTTTTGTGGCGACTACAATAGGTCGTCTCGAGACTGTCACACGTGGTTTTTTCCATTGGTACTTCATCAGCTTAAATTTTCCAACATATTTCGATCTCTTTAAGTGAGACATATGTATCTCAATTAAAAATGTTCCAGTCTTAGTGCACTTGATGTTGAGCTGACAACTTTCGGTCATTTACTCATGAAAAAATAACGATCTTGGTCAGAAATAACGCCCTCAAAACGCTAACAAACGACTTTATTTAAGAAGGTAAAGTACCCAGGGGTCTTTGAAAAACTAGGTCATAGTCCAAAACAATTGTAATACAAATCTATTGATTTCCGACCATGAGTGGATAGCACAGAGTGTCCTTTTCGAAATGAGAATTAAGCGACCTCTTAATTTCCATTGGCTAGGCATGGCATCGAGTTTCCTCTTGATTTCCTATGACGTTTGGTTTTGGGAGTCAATGCAGAGTATTTCGATTTATGAGAATATTTATGATTGATTATAAATACATAATCAGATTCCGCTGATAAAAATGACGCATATGTTGATGTTCTCAAGTAGTCTATTCCATTTTCTTTGCTGCTTTC